CGCTTAACAAGTCAATCCCTCTCATTTGTCGAGCTTTCGAGGGAAACAAAACAAACATTTGGTTTTGAACAGAATATCACTGGGACAGTAATGTCGGAGGACCCTCAGAATAAGGTTCCCGCTAATTCACCTGCCATTTCTGATCTTCCAGCTGCCACACAGGGCTCAGTGATTTCCATTTTTCCTTACAGGATGGAAGGCAAAGCCGAATACATCCTCCCTACTGAGACAAGATATGTTGGGGACATGAAGGATGGCATGTTTCATGGCGAAGGAACCCTGTACTTCCCCAATGGAAGCCAATACGATGCCATTTGGGATAAGGGATTGGTCATCAAGGTGATCAGTGCGGGGCTGCAGAGGGGAAATATTTGGCAGGAACAGCCCCAGTGCTGTGGCACCCTGCCCTCCCTGTCTAGTGCCCACCTCTTCCCGGTCTCTCTTCTCCAGGGTTATGGAATCCTCTCCCCCTGAACCCAGAAGGACCCCTGGGGAGGCCATGATGAGTTTGCATCCTGGTTATGCCATTCCTGTGTGACTTTTGGCCAGTGACATCACCTTTCTCAGATTTGGTTTCCATGTCTATTAATTGGGCGCAGTAGTTCTATGCACCTCCTAGGATGGTTGCAAGAGTGAATATGTGACACTTTGCTCAGTACCTGACACATGGTAGACACTCAATAAGTGTTAGCTGTTACTACTGCCACCACCACTACCACTATCATTATCTAATCCAAGGTTCTTAACCTGGGAGTTATGAGCCATGAATAGAATTCAAGGGGCCAGTGAAGCCCCCTCATTTGTATACAAAAACTTCTATGAATATGTGACTATGTTTTTTTCTGGGGGAAAGGATCTGTTGCTTTCATTAGTTTCACTGTGAGTATGGATGGGGGCTGACTCATGACCTTAAAAAGGCTTTAAAACCCTCCTTGTTTTACAGCTTGAAGAATTTAAGCCCTATGAATGGGACGTGACTTATCCAAGGTCACACAGTGAATTAATAGTATTGTTGGAATTTCCACTCATGTTTCCTGATACACAGGCCAAGTCTATTTCTACATCCTGAGGTTTCCTTTAGCACTGTGGCAGCAAAAGCAGAATGTAGTGCATTTGAACAAAGGTCCATGGCTGATGGCTCTGACCTTTTTTTTTTTTTTTTT